TTTTTCTTCCCTTCCCTGCAGCTTTAACCACGTGAATTTAACAAACATATTGTTAAAATTATTTCGACATCGTCATGGGCATCCATCAAATCTAAAAGTGAATTGAATTGTAGAATTCACTCAAATAATTTTAATAATAGATATTTTTCTTAAATTCACGCCGTTAAAGCTAGAGGAAAGATTCAAATTTATTAATATTTAGAATGTAAATGATTTAAAATCAGTGTTCACGGAAAATGTTTCTGATCAAAGAAACGAGACCCCTAGTTACATGAGGTCTATTACCAAATGATACGATAAACACCTTCATAAACGAACCCTTATGTAGTTTTACGTGAATTATTGTACACGAATCATCCGATGCTGGTAAAACTTTAAAATTCTCTTTCTGGCTTTTTTTCGGAATCATTGTCCAAATACGATAAGAATGTTGGATAGTCCTGGTTAAAGGAAGTGAAGTCAAATTCTTTACTCAGTTGCTGTTTCGAGATTATATTATTATATAAGTACCTACCTGGCTTTATTGAGACATGTACTTTTCGTATAACCATACATATTCATTAAAAATGTTTCTCTTCTATTGAGGCCAGAGGTTGATTGTAAACTTTTACAGTTGACCTCAGGTCTAGATTTTTCTGTAGAAGGAAGTGTAATAGCGTTAATTTTGCCTTGATTGTACACACCTGATGTGGTTTTACATCCAGACATTGCATATGCAAAAATCACAGATTTCACCCAGAACATCCCTTTGTCGGGAAATATTAAATACCTGTTGGTTCGTTAGGCGATAGATAAAACTTCTCAAAAAATGTAAAATGTAAGTCCAAGTGATTTCAGAAACAATATTAATAACAATATTTCAAGGCATCCTAAGAAAATTATGCATAACGGTCACAATTTTAAAAAATCTTTTAAATAAAACAAAAAGCATAACAGATAAGTATAGGGAATCGATGTAGAATTTTTTTCAACAATTGAAAATGCAAAAAATACAGCAGGATTCATTACAAAAAATCAACTTTTTAAGGTTTGAAGTTATTCAAATTGATCATTAGTTTTCAAACACCCTGTAGAAGGGCGATCCAAATTTAATTCATTCTGTAGCATCAAGTCAGTATTGTTGATTTTGGAAGATGTTTTTAAATTCAGGTATAGGATCCTAAACAAAAGCAGTCAAACGTTAAATATTTTGAAAAATTTTGAATAAGTTGTAAACATTTGATACTGGGTATAGGAAAATTTGGTATCACACTTACGACGGTTATGATGTTACCACAGTTAATAAACTGTACCAATATAGCCAACGAGCGACAAAATGACTTTCGATTGACGAATATTGACTAAAATTTAATCAATTAGTCCCCTAACAGCTAACAGAATTGGAAAATTCGAAACCGTTAGTGAGTTATCGTGTCCACAGACGGACGGACGAACGGGCAGAAAGTCCAAAATCATAAACTCGCTTTTTGTCGGGGATAAATACACAAGAGCTTGATTTTTAATCGGATAATTTTATTTTTACACGAAAGTTTTGTTGCAACGGAAAAAACTAGAGATCAAAAGAGCTGGAGCGATTTTATCTCATGCTTTTGATCGGGAGTTTTTTCCAGGAGGCAACAAAATTTGAGTGAATAAAAAATAAAATTATCCTGATTTAAAACGTTAAAAGCAAAATGGAGTGTGTTTTAGGGAGATTAATAAAAGACAGTAAATTTCACAACCACTATATTTTACGTGTTTCTACAAGCATTTTTATCGCTGATAAAAAGCTCCCTAGCGTTTAATCACTTACGAAATCGTCAAAAATTTGAAACAATCCCCAAGCTGATTGGTCGTATATTAATGGAGGGTTAATAGCTGATAAAAAGCTACCTAGCTTCTAATCACTTAAAAAATTATCTGATTGGTTAGAATTTGAAATAATCCCCAAACTGATTGGTCGTATATTAATAGAGGGTTAATCGCTGATAAAAAGCTGCCTACCTTCTGATCACTTAAAAAATCATCTGATTGGTTAGAACTTGAAACAATCCCCAAGCTGATTGGTCGTATATTAATGGAGCAATTTTAGAATAGTGCAGTGATAAAGATAGATGCAATGAGTAAGAGAAAGATAGCGCATTCATGTGTATGAGAGAGATAGTGAACAAGTGTAAAATAATATGACGTCACACGATGTGCTTTCATTTTTAAAATAATTAATATCAGTTGCCACGAATACCGCAATTGATTACAATGCTAATTAAATTAATTTAATTAAATTAAATTAATCAAATCAAATCAAAAACGCAAATCATGTACAGGAACCGCGAATTAAATTAATTCCGCGATTAAATCAAGACAATTTAATTTAATTGGACCAATTTAATTCAATTAATTCCGCAAAATTAAATTAAATCCGTGAAATTTAAATAAAACCCGCGGGCGGCGAAATTAATAAGAAAAAGTGTTTTCTCGAGAAATTTTGGTGTAGTGGATTTTTGGTAAAAAAAGGAAGGTTATACGTATATACCCTGCCTTTTTTTGAGCCCCCAAAAAAATGGTCTCTTATAGAATGTGGCCTGTAGAATCCATAATTTCAAACAGTTCCAAGATTGGGCTACTAGATCAAAAGTTACAGCCCTTTGAATTATCCTTCGAAATTGGTTTCTAGTCCATAACTTTTGATTGAGAAGTCGAAAAAGTACGAAATGTTTTGGATTCTACGCACCAAAATTAATAAGAAAAAGTGGTTTCCCGAGAAATTTTGGTGTAGTCGATTTTTGGTAAAAAAGGAAGGTTATACAATGCCTTTTTTTGAGCCCCGAAAAAAAAATTGTCTCAGATGGCCTCGGAAAAAAATTTTCTTATAGAATGTGGCCTGTAGAATCCATAATTTTAAACAATTCCAAGATTGGGCTACTAGTTCAAAAGTTACAGCCCTTTGAATTTGTTTTCGAAATTGGTTTCTAGTCTATTTTTATCTATTGATTGAGAAGTCTGATCGAAAAAGTACGAATTGTTTTGGATTCTACGCACCCAAATTAATAAGAAAAAGTGTTTTCCAGAGACATTTTGGTGTAGTCGATTTTTGGTAAAAAGGGAAGGTTATACACTGCCTTTTTTGAGCCCCGAAAAAGAAATTGTCTCAGATCGACCCGGAAAAAAAATTTTCTTATAGAATGTCGCCTGTAGAATCCATAATTTCAAACAGTTCCCAGATTGGGCTACTAGTTAAAAAGTTACAGCCCTTTGAATTTTTTTTCTAAATTGGTTTCTAGTCTATAACTTTTGATTGAGAAGTCTGATCGAAAAAGTACGAATTGATTTGGATTCTACGCACCCAAATTAACCCTAGTTTACTGGCCACTAAAACTTTCAAGTTTACGGGCGTGGGGTGGAACGAACCCTAGATAGAAAAGACTAAACTTGGAAGGTACTCGAGCTCCCAGGCCAAAATATTGAAAGAAAAAAACTTATGGACATTGAAAGTGGCTGTGGGGTGCGATCCACCCCAGACCTGTAAATTAGGGTTAAACGCGATAATGCTACAACTAAAATTCTTTAACTATTTAAGTTTTTAAGTAATCACAATAACAGAATATTTTCGATCCTAAGAACCCTACAAATACCAACCCTAATGAATTTAACGACCAGAAATTGTTCATTCACATCAAATATCTCGTGTACCAAGAGCGAATTTTATTTCTGAAAACTATTGACTCCTTTTACAACAGGACAATTAACACATTTAACGATTTAAGTTCTAACGAAATTTCCCAAAAGTTTACCAAAATATACCCCTAGAAGAAAATTCAAGACGATAATAAGTATGATGCTTCCAAAAAAATAACGAAGAGCACTATCGAAGATTAAAATTTTTATAATCATTAATTTCAGAATATCTCTCGGATCAACAAATTCCTGAGTTTCAATCTTTTTCTTACCATAATGACGAAACATTCCGCCACTACTGCTGGAAGCTCTTACGTGAAATGTGTTAATGCTACATAAAGTGGAAAAACGAAAACCATCAATTTTAATTTTTCTTAAAAGTGCAAAATGAAAGCTTTTATCAGAGCTTTCACCACACCCATGTATACCTAAATACTCGTACATCAAGTGATGGCTCCATTATTCTTACGTTTTGAGTAACAATTTTCAACACAACAGTGTTCTTTTTTATTATGCGTGTGATGAAAGCTCCGATAAAAGCTTTCATTTTGCACTTTTAAGAAGAAGAAGAATGGATGGACGGAGACGGTTTAACTAAAAAACCCAATTTCTGCGAAATTGATTTTCACACAGATACAAACTTTTCGAAAATTGCATCGTTTTTTTCTCCAAAAGCTTGCATGACCATCTAAAAATTAGGAGTATGTGTCCGTAATCTCTCACAATCCAGCCAAACCCCCCCGCAATCTGTGAAGATCCTTTATTTTTGCAATCTGACCACAATTTCTCACCTTGTGATTAGCCATTCAGTTGCATTACGAGTAAAGAACAAAGCAGTAAGAGACCGGGCAGGTGAGCAGGAAATATGCCGGTAATAGCTGATTCTTTGGTATTATTAGCTTTGAAATTTGATTAAGTTTGGTACAGGAGACGTTATCCTTTTTGATTGGCGTTATCAATATACCAAACATCCTTCAGGGGGTGGCGAAGTTAACTATAGTAGCATTGTAAAGTGTGATGCGGATATACAAAATTAATACCGATTCCAATTACTATTTGTAGCAGGCTTAGATCATGAACGACGTCCTAAACGACGTGGGCAACAGGTGCAACAAATCACCTGCTTCTATTTTTCATTTCTGCTTGCAATATTTTCTTGTTTTTTTTCAGCTCACAATACACCGCGCACACGACAGCATGTACTGCACTGTTTGCTTTAATTAATGAGTTGGACAATCGCTACTTGTAACTTTTTTGCATAAATTTATCACCACATAATATCACCAGGTAGCCTCACATTGCACAGCGTCTCAAAGCTCATAAATCACCCAATTATTGTTCTTACCGCTTTTATTTAAAATTTTTTATAACAGTATAAAATGGAATCTTATCACATCAGGTTCTGACGGAATGATTTTTGATTTCAATTGCAGTTAACTACTACAATTTACACACTCATAAAATATTCGTAGGGCGTAACGTAGTCACATAATAATTATTCAATTTAACAGAGATAGACAAAGATTAATTAATAGTTAACAAATTGGAATCGTAGAAATCTGTCTTAAGCATATAGTTAGAAAATATAATTCTATTTAGCGCCAGTTCATGCAAAAAATTTACACAAGTTCTCGTTTATTAAGGCAAACTGTAAAAACCAAACTTGAAGCACTGTTATCACGTTTATTGAGCGGAAAATACACTACGAGTTGACTCCTTAGGCCGTCGCGTCCGATTTCTTACTTCCTCTTCTTCTGCTTAACTGCCTCCAAAAGCGTCCGTCCATCTGCTTGTCCTAAAAACAGTAACAAAATGACGTCAAATAGCCGGGGCCGTATTTTTCACCTTTGGTATTCTGCTGGTGATCGGCCTCTGCGAGTATGAAGTGGGAACGTCGTCGGAGGTCATTCCTTCTTTATTGAATAATTTAATTAAATGATCGCCTTCCGGAAATGACTCGTGAATTTTTCGATCGGTTTTCTTCACATAAAATATTTCAAATCTGAAAGAAATTGAATGTAAGATACGGCTGTACTTCAAACTGCAGCAGTTAAAATTGAGTATGCGGGGTCTCGATCTCCACCGTTGAAATGAAGTCCATCTTTATTCATCGCAGTCATTTCGTGAACAATCGGAATAAAATGTGGGAGCCAAAGCGATTTTATATTCAGTATTATTGTCTGAACTTTTCCAAACTGTATAAAATATGGAAATGTTGTAGAGGTACGATATCAATAAGCACATCGTTTCCAAGAAAAGAATAGTTCCGTTACTGGTTTGGCTTTTGGATTACAAACATGTATTGTAATCATCTCGTAAATAAAAGGCACTTTTTTTTATCATATCTTACAAAATAGAGGCCCAATTAAACGTTATGGCGAGTTTTTTTTGGGACGATCAGTTGTGGGAATTCTTTGTCCTAGAATTTGAATTTTTTATTTGAGGTTGTGGTAAAAAAAAAAGAATTAAAAACATGTCCAAGAACAAAGCAATAAATAATTTGGAGATTGGTTCTATTGACAAATGTAAGCTACTACTATAAAGGAAGTTAAACATTTCAATATTGAAAAGGAGAAAGGATAACAGAAACTGGCAAAGGTGCAGAGGGTGAAGTATGCTCAAAATTACAATTTCGGTAAATGGATCATAAACGAAAAACAATATGTATATTATTTAAGAAAGAAGGTGGAAATAATTAGAAATAGAAGGACGAAAATTAATCCAGTCCAGAAATGAATGTCTAATTCTGGTTTGCGGATTGATTTTTACATGCTATCTATAGGCAACGACTATCCTGCTCCTTTACGCCCTGTCCTAAACTGAATTATAATTTAACTTTAATAGTGTCATTTAAACACTAATTTCAAGTCCGCAAAAGAGGTTATCATTATTTTAAGATACGTAGCTGAAAAACAATAGCGACCTTTCTTATATCCTTGAGAACATGCGTATACCAATTTGCAAAGCGATCCAACGTTTTTGCCCAAAGTTATCGTGCACAAGGACATACGGACAGATGGACGGGCAGACAGATGGACGACAGACAGACACACAGACAATACAAAATTATATCTCGGGGATCGTTAATAAACGGCAAAAGTGTAAAATTATGGTACATGAAAAAATTGATTTTTTACTATAATTTTTTTCTAGGGGGAAACAAGTACCATTTTTGGTGTACACCAAAAATTCAAATTTAAATTAATTCATGTTAATTCAAAACAATTCACGTAAATGCATGTTAATTCACGTTTATTCAAGTTAATTCCTGTAAATTCAAATTAATTCACGTTAATTCTAAATAATTCACGTTAATTCTAAATAATTCACGTTAATTCAAATTAATTTACGTTAATTCAAATTGAATCACGTTAATTGACATTAATTCTCGTTAATTCTAATTAATTCACGTTAATTCTAATTAATTCAAGTTAGTTCAAACTTCAAATTAACACAGGGGGGTGTACACCAAACATTCAAAGTTGTTTCCATCTAGAATTCTTCCAAGGCAAATTTTTACCAGGACTAGAGTTTGCGAGTAAAATATTTCAACGGCGGATTTTTTCTGGCGACAAATTTTTTACACAAGTATACCAGGTAAAAATTTTCCAAGAGCAATTTTATCAATCTTGAATTTTCAAGACGAGAATTTCCCTAAGGCGAATTTTTCGGAGACGAGATTTTAACTGCCAAATATTCCAAGGCCTATTTTGTTGGAGGCTAAATTTTCCGTATGCGAATCTTCTGGAAATGAATTTTTCCATGACAAATATTCCCAAGACGAATTTTGAGGGGAGAATTTTTGTGGGTCAAACATTAATTCAAGGGCAATTTTTTACGTTTCTGGAGACAAGTTTTCCACGCAAGTTTCTGGGGCGAGTATCTCAGAGCATAAACTTCCAACGCAAATTTTTCTTTGACGATTTTTTGGGGACCAAATATTCGAAAGATGATTTTTTCAACATTTTCTGTAAAATGAATTTCCTTTTCTGGACGAATGTTTTAAGGAGCCTACATTTTCCGTAGGTAAATTTTTCGGAAGACAATTTTTCCATGGCGAATGTTCCCAGAACAATTTTCTTTGTAGTTTTTGGGAGTCAAATATTCCAAGGACGACTTTATTCGGTAGGCGAATTTTTTAGGAAAGAAGTTTTCCAGGAAGAACCTTCCCGAAAATTGTTGGGGGTGAAATTTTCACGTAAATATTACGGGAGGAAAATTCGTAAGAGGCGAATATTCCCTGTATGAATTTACGGGTTGAATCTTGCACGGAAGCATTTTAAAAAGGCGATTTTTTCATAGCGAATTTGTCTCGTATATTTTTTTCGGA